GTGTTCAATCTTCGCCGCTCTCACAACCCTCACCACAACAAGCTCGCAACAGATGTTGTTGCCACTGCCAAAAATACTGTCACGGTGATATTACCATAATTTGGTGATCTACAATAGTAGCCTCACGATAATAGCAACGGTCTCGCTTCAAGCCGCGATACGAAGATCGAACGAGAAACCTATACAAGTTATTGCGCGTCCGCCGCAGAACGACCGAATTACCATTAACACACGTCACATATTGAAGACACAAGTTGGCCATCATATTGAGGTAGAAGAAAGACTGCAAACATCAGGAGACAGGAGCTGCTGCCCTTCGCACTGTCCAGCCCGAAAGGCCCCGCCAACCTCTCCACATCAGAATCTAGCCAGAATACAGCAGCGACATCTGCATTCCAGAACACTTCTCCATCTTAATCGTGCATTGACAACTGTCCCCTATGTTCCGGCAGCTATCTCACCATCATCAGGGAGGTTCCTGACTGATAATCATCAAACACCGTGGGTGATGCCAGCTGCCGGTCAAACGGCACCACCAACCCCACTCCATTGATCGCAGAATTCGATCATAACTGGCCACACCAGCTGAACAACGACAGTTCAACGAAATCAAGTCCATGATGGATAGTTGCATATGATATGCATATTCTTATTCTCCTGTGGAGCTTGCATCAGCTCCATTGTCACCGGTCAATATGCAGCTAATTCTCTAGTCCACGTCCGAAAGGGTGCAGCGTGCATGCATTGAAGCCTCACCGGTCAACCTGATCGAGTACCTGCAAGATACCCACCGGCGTGCGCGGTCTCGAATCTCTCATATAATCACTCTCCTGCATCGTCGGACCTGTCCGGGCTTCTGAAACAGACAAAAGCATTGCGCAAGCTGTATTGCCAGCTCACGTCTCCCCGCATTTACCAGGACGTGCCCCTTCCGTCTGGCGAGGCTGCTCGCTGGTCAACGTGTCCATCGGCTCATCGCCAAATCATCGTCTGCACACCCGTCCGAACCAACCTCAACCCAACCACCCGACCTTTCCTTCCCCACAGTCCAATACTTTGGTTTTCCTTAGCATATCTTCGTGCAGTCCGGTGCAAATGTCAACGTGTCGCGCTCGCTTGCTGGGGTCCCCGTTCTGTGGAGTCGCAGCGGCCCTGCCCAACCCAAGAAAATCTTCTCCAGCTATGGGTCGGTAGCCGAAGTGCAATGGATACTTTGCTGCGATAAGGTCACAAAAACAGGGCTGTGCCGGCCTCAGGTACTGGCAGAAAAATTGCAAGTGATTGGGCAATGGCTATGCGTATGAGGTATGTGTTCGGTGGTCGATGCGTGGTGGTTTGTGACATACTTGCGGGAAGTCATCGTTCGGTGGGTGGTGACGGCTGAGGCGCAGCACCGAGTTCGCAGGGCTGAGCCACCAGTACCTGATGCAAGTTATCAAGCCACTAATCCAACTCATGCTCATCGGTGGGAGTGGTATCCCACCTGATCGTGCGGCTGATGAATCCAATATCGAGAATACGACGTGGCAGCCGCCGCCATGCCTTTGTAAGATGTAAGACGGACGACGCGCTCGCTCGAAGTACAAAGCGGCAAATGCGACTACCTTCCCAAGACCTATCTGGGGGCCGAATTTCAGGAACCGCCACGCCAGCGCCAGCCTTACGGCCCCCAGCTCCTCTATCGCTCCACCCCCTCCCGTCATTTCAAAAATAGCCCCCAGGGTTCATGCGCGACATGCTGCGCCGCCTCCATGTCTGTTTCGACATCAAACATCTTCACAGCCAATCGCAACGTGCTTTTCTGCCGTACATGGGTTCACATTGTAGGATGTCGTTTGCTTCAGTTACGCATCATCATGCCTGCTTCACTGGGTTGCAATCGCCATGGCAGTATCGCAGCATGCGTGAACGGTATGAAGATGGGGCTGTGAATGTTGGATATTGAGACAAGAGGAGATAGTGGAGATAGGGATGCGACGACAGAACATGCGGAGTGGTATGTCTCGGAGACCCCGAGATGGCATGTCCTTGGTAAGCAGGCAGGTTTGCATCTGACGCTTGAAGCGTGACGTACACTTCATGTCTGATCTTGAGGCGCGAAGAGATGGGTGCGCGAGAGTTGAGGAGTAGCCCCCAGGACGACAGTTACAAACTAGTGGCCGCTCTGTAGCGCGTATGCTCATTTTGGTGACGTGCTTGAAGAACGTCCTGGGTACACATGAATCAGAAGGTAGTGTTCAGGCCTTGTGCTATCGTCTCTAATTGTTCACAGCCCAGTATTCCCGCTCATAGATGTGAGCATCAGCTCTATGCCAGAAGACACCACGACACCAAGTGACAAGTAAGCAAAGCCTGAACATGAGGAATCCTATTGCGACGGGAATACTTCACTGCTAGTCAGACTTGGAGGTCCTCGCTACATCCGCACATACTCAACAACCGCCAATTTCCCCTATACTCGCTTCCAAAGGACGCTCTGTAATACCCCCAGGCCGAACCGAACCAGCGACTATCTGCTCGCCAGACCACTTGGCTCGCGTTCGATGACACTGAAACAGTTCTGTTCCTGACTATGCTTCGAAGTCTCCGCAAGATGGGTGTACATACTCAACCTAGTGTACCTTGCGAGTTTGCGGCATTTTGTTGTATGCCAAGATATCTGTGGCACAAGCGCGTTCATTTGGGAAGACAGTTGAACTAATGAAAGCTTGCATAACATCCGGTGATTGGTAAACTGTCTATCAGTACCCACGACATCCGTAGACCTGGATCTTCGAACGTATACAAGTCGAAGAGGAGATCTGGCGGCATGATGATGTACGTTTGATCAGATCAAATCGAGACGATACATAACAATAGCGACAACGTAGAACAAACATCTAGGAGGTTCTGGACTATAAACACTGTTCTTAGACTATGCTATCGTCTCGTCTGAAGCAACCCACACCTCCTTAAGACTATCTCAGTCACACTCGTAACTTTCTAGATCGACCTTTAAATTAGACCGGAATTCCCATACTGGGGAAAAAGGCCGAACGCGACAGTCTCGGAGATGATCAGAGAAAGACTTTCGGGTATAGACTTCCTCTTCGACTTCGGTGTGTAAGCAAGTGCTGCAGTAATATCCCTGCTCCACCTGGAACGGCATCGAGTCTACCAAAGGTGCAAACACTATGGGCATATGTCGCGCAATGGTCATCGGAACAGCTGAGATGACGGAGACGCTGGGGCGAGTGTAGTCATGCTTCCTCAAATCCCATTCAAGGTCTATGAGATCATGAGTTCGATTGTTCATTGATTCGAGATGAACAGTGTACGGTATTTCTTGCGCTTCCGCTCTGAACTTGTTCAGGCCGTTCGTCAAGGTGACAGAGAGAGTGCGAAAACTCAGTGTCATGGTAAAGTCTTCAGTTTCATAGATTTAGTACCCCATTGTCAACTCGCAGTTCGTCACACGGGATTCATGTCGTATGCACTCCACACAAAGTCGCGTGTATGCAGGAAGGTATATGTGCTGCGCCAACTGTCCGCATCGGTACTCAGTGTATCTTATTGCTGGTCCCGGTAAAACGTCCTTGATCCGAATTTGGTCGCAATCTCTCTGCAGGACCTTGTTGTATAGCTGCTGTGGCGTAACGTGCGTAGAGATTCTGAGAGCCATCATTCCTATGACGGTGTTTGGTGCAAATTGCAAGCAAAGGCGAAGAGGCGATTCTGTATCAACGACGTGCATTGCGAATCGGTTGCAGCGTCGGAAACGCATCACATCGGTGACTGCAAGGTTTTCGAGGACCATGAGAAGTAGTTCGATGGGAAAAATCGCGAGCGAGCCTAGGACCTGTTGCTGCGGCGCTGGTCCTGCAAGAGCTGAGAGTGGTGTCATGCGGCCCAGTAGTCGATCGAGAAAGACACAACCGACGTCTTTGTGCGTATAGGTGATGCTCTCAATAGGTACGTTCGATGGCTCAGTCATGGTGAGTGTTGGGAATTTCCAAGTGTTTGTGCGACTAGTAGGGTTCGAAATATAGGTAGATCCGGTGGGGGCAAGAGTTTTGCTAACTCGTTTTACTCAGGTTGTCGTGTAAAGAGGGAATGTTGGATGTAATGCAAATAGCATAGACGAGAGTTTTGTAAGAGTGTGCGAACTGCCCGGAACCATGGAACGATGCTCTCACCCATTGTGTGACCTATACTGCAACTACGGGACAGTGATCAGTGAATACGTCAAGCAAACAGAGCTAGCCTATCAGGTCAAGCAAACACAAGTTTCAGGATCGACACTAGGAGTGCAAGTTCGTTCTTTGGAGTGATAGAGAGCACTTTACCTAGCACTCTGATACACTTACCTGTATCATACTACATTATCTTCGACCCCAATTCGAAACATACAAAGCGCAGACCTTGATCCCTTCCACAAGTAAATGCGAGGCTGCTACTCGCAGCCAGCGTCCGCGCAGTCTTTACGCTATCGCAAAGTGCTCCAGCACAAATACGTAGTGACGACCTCCATCAGAAGGCTATCAGTGTCTAGATAGAATTAGATTCGTCAGAGTTTTCTCGGAAAACGTCTCTCTAACATCTAGTCCTCTTCTTCCGATACTGTACTTTCACTTCGCCTGTCTTGAAATCCTGATAGCCCAATACGACTAGTCCAGAGCCAGCGCTTGGACAAACCAACAATTCCACACTCTTTGACCACACGCTTGCAATATCAACATTTGCTCTCAATGTCCCGTAAAACGTCCACCTCTCAACGGGTATCTGCCCCACTGGTTGATACCCCAATGGCGCTTGTACGTCATGGTCGCTCCCCGTATCTACCGGCTGCAAGGGAAGAAATTCCTCGACCGTCCCGAGCCACGGAGACTAGGCATGGAAGTCCATTCAAAGTCGATCATATTTCCAAAGGCTCACAATCGACAATCAGCCTGCCTCTTCCTCCGGCGCAACGACACCAGAAGCGCTCTGGAGACACGACTATCGGTGATCATAACCACGAAATGAAACGTCCTCGAATGACCCGCGATGCAGCACAAGGGCGACCAAAGAGTCCCGAACTAGACCGTCGCATCTTCAGCAGTTCTCGGACAATCGATGCAAGAACGTATATGTCTAGAGGAGAGATTTGGCAACAGCCACATTATCTGGAACACGATCAGCGAAGGTCCCACAAGCATGTGCGGTTCACAGATGCCTTCTACCCCGAAAAGCGCGTACAAACACGCCGCCCACGTCTAGCCGATTTTGAAGATGAGAGGTCAAGAGCAAGTCCGGATCCGCAGACTGGCGCCAAGCACAAGGAAAAGGTAGAGGATATCCGAGAACGCATCGATTCCCCCGGTTTCGGGTACAACGAAGAGTTAAAAACACCAGAGGAGAGGCTCATGAAGTATCGCGCGGATGCACAAGTATCGCAGTTGCATCAGAAGCGTTAAAAACTCATAGCCGAACGTTACGCTGCAGAAGAAGCCGAGCTGTGGTTCCAGAGCAGAATAATAGCCGCCCAACTCATGGTGGACGTTGAAGAGTCTCGACAGAGGGCGAACATCGAAGCTGCTGCAGCTGATACAAAAACGAATCTTCGTTAAAACAGAATGGGGTGCCTGGATCTATATTGAAGATGGTTTGATTGACCCTAGAATCGACCCGATGAGGTTCATGAGGATTGAAAAAGTGGTCTTAGATTGTGCGACGTTGCTGAGTTGCTACGTTGTTCGTCTTGCGCGTCTAGAGCTCGAGAACGTATGCACTCGTTTGGATGTCATCGTATGATACGATTTTGACTACTGCGATGGATGTGTTTTGCGGACGACTTGCGGGAGGCGCTCGCTGTAGTTGCTGGGTGGGTGGAAAAACGAGGAGACGGCAGGATCCAGGGTTTTCCGGGAGCGAATCTGACGCCCCAGTCGTCGGGTCCGCCACGAACTTTAAGATTCATCACCAACAAAATTGCATCTGTACATTTTGCGGCCCTTTTCCGCAACGTCCAGTTCCTGCAACAATGTATACTCTTTGTATTGGCGAAAGTCCGCGGCACCGCAGCGTCTATATCGGCACGCCGAAGCTCCTCGATTGTGGTAATCTCTAACGCGAGGCGGGGAAGGGCCGAGTGACCTAAAGCGGTAACACTATGCGGTTCCGCACATCATGTCCACAATACCATCAGTTTGCATGCGATCGCACCATATTTGCTGCGGTCCTTTCTTGATCGGTTGCGCAGTCCGGTGAGGGGGTAATAGTCTCGATGTGGAACAGAAACCCGTATATAGTGTGGCCAGGTACCTGAGTAACTGCGAGCTTGCAACCATCCAAACCCTCCTACACAACCATCTCTTTCAGCAAACAAACCAAGTTCCAATCTCTACCCATCATGCCATCAATCCATCCCGCCATCGATAACGGTATCAAGAAGGGCGACCCTAACTTTCCCGGCGGCAAGCTTTACTGCCATTGCCCCTCCAAGAAGGTCGAAGTCACCCTTTCCAGCAACGTCGCGCACAACCACGCTTGCGGCTGCTCAAAATGCTGGAAGCCTAAGGGCGCTCTCTTCTCAGTCGTTGGTGTTGTTCCCGTAGATGCCCTCTCCGTAACCGCCAACGGTAACAAACTGCACATAATCGACGAGTCGGCGGCCATCCAACGCAATGCTTGCAAGGAGTGCGGAGTTCACCTTTTTGGCCGCATCGTGGTCGACCATGCATTCAAGGGCCTGGACTTTGTGCACACCGAACTTAGCGATAAGAAGGGATGGCAGGAGCCCCAATTCGCGGCGTTCGTCAGCAGCATCATCGAGCAAGGTTTCAACCCCAAGGAAATTGATGCCGTAAGAGAGAAGTTCAGGAAGGAGGGACTCCAGACATACGATGTACTGAGTCCGACGTTGATGGATCTCATCGCCACTTATACTGCGCAGAAGAGCGGAAAGCTTTCATCGAAGTTGTAGGGTTGTATTGCATAGTCTGGCGTTCTGGGTGTGGTTGATGTGGACGATGTATCATTAGATGACGAGGAATGGCTTAGAGCTTGGATTGGTCTTATAGACATTCAAGAGTTTTATGCACCTGGAAGACCGACTAGCGCGGGACTTGTGTAGTTATATTGCATACCACTGAGCACCGTGATCGCGCGCTAAACCTCTCTAGCAGCCAAAACATGTATGCTACTTCAGAGAAGGCATGTACCATGGACGTTTTGCTTCCATTGAGAAATTTCTTTCACTAAATCCTCGCGCTGGCAACACTAAGAAGGCAATGCTTCCTGAGTTGTCTTGACGTCAACAGCGCTGAAGACAAGGATGTACAAAAGTGTATACTCGACCAGTCATACATCAGACGCTAAGACTGCAGCGCACTGTTCTGAACACCAACTTACTACTTGAATGAAGGGTGAGATAAGATGCACGGAGCCTGGGTAGTATGGTTTCGATGCGCGATACAGTTTCGAGTGGTTTCGAGCCTTGCAAAGTGAATATCACACTTTAGATTCAGGCTAAACTAAGGTAGAGCCTTCTCCTAATTTTGGCAAGCAGTGCATGCATGATGGGCGTGATGGAAGTGGTCTTTGAAGGGGGCTAGCGTAGCAGTATTCTGGAAAAAGTGCTTATGAATTTTGGATGAAGGAAATCTATGCATTAAATATTGGGTATCTATAACGAAGCGCACTCTTGCTGAGTAAGACCATTTGTGGTGATGTACTCCATCTTGGAGTCACCAACTTCAATGTCAACCGTGGGGGCGAGTCCATCGGCGGACAAGATTGTTGAGGCAGTAAAGTAGACGTACTCTGCCGTCTCTTTGCTTGCGCGGGTCATAGGGATGGTCTCTGGTCGCAAGCGAGGAATGAAGTTGCCCTGAATCTTGTTCTTCTTCACAACATTGATCTGCGGAGTGGCGCCACTCTTGAGAAGTGCCTTGGATACAGCAGCAGTGATGGTCAAAGTGCCTTCCTGCTTGGTCGCATCCCAGGCGACGCAGGACTGCGCATCTTGGTAGAGAATATCAGCATTCACAGGGTATCCGCCTGTGCCGCCATTGTCGTAGGTGTCATCATTGACGCGAATGGTAAACGAGTCGAATGCCTCGCTAGCAGTGAGCGTCTGGTCGAATTCGAACCATTGGAAGTTCTCGTCTAGGTATCCAAAAGAGGTTCCTCCTTGGAAGGTGCCACGGCGAGCAGCGATCTCGGCGACTGTGGTATTGCCACGCGATTTCGGAATGATAGAAGCGGTAAGGCTGTCTGCGTCACGACCAGTTACTGGTGTAATACGAACACGGATGCGTCCAGAAAACTGGACTGAGCCGTCCTTGAGTGAATAGGATGAAATATAAGGACGGATGTCGGCTGGCACCAAGGGCTCTGTCAGTGTGACATCGCCTGGTACGAGACTAAGCATTTTCTCGAATGCAGCCTCACACTGGGACTTGAAGTAAGCCTTGTCGGCAAGCTTGCGCATGGTTTTGTTGTCGTCAGCAGCAAAGATTCGCTTGTCGGAGTTCAACGTGTTGTTGGGATTGACGACCAATGGGTTGGCTGTCGAGTTGTCGAGGTACTCCAATACCACGTTGTTGTCCAATACGCCCAGGGTGGTATCGAAACTCGCCTTGTTCTCTGCGCTGACTGGACCAGAAACAATCTCGGGGTGATCAACAGAGTGAACACCACCAATGCTGTGACCACAAGCAATCAGAGTGATCATGTCGGTCTCGCTTAGGCTGGCAGTCTCAAATCGCTTCCTTGTGGTTTCGAGATCCGTGTGGGCTTCCGGTACGCCTTTGATACCAGCTTCCGTCGCATCCTTGCGGCCTAGTCTCAAAGGAACGCGCATATTGGCGCAACGAGCCACGGACATGACTAATGACAAGGCCAAAACGTCGGCTGCGGAGCTCCTGATGTCGACTGAACTAGATATGTCGGCCAAGGTATTGTTGAGTGCAGCACCCAAGTTCTCTGGTCGATCAAGCTCGTATTGTATCGAGGCGTCCAAACCGCCAATTTTGGTTTTGGCATCATGTGTAACGGAGTCGTGGAAGGCAGTTCGTACCCATTCTGCGGCTTTCTGAATACCGGGCTGGCCAGCGCCAAAATCGCAGGTCATGACTTCTGTTGATTTGTGAGCTCTGGGCCAAATGGATTGAGGGTGTAAGATACGTACGATCCGATAGTGTTCCATCTTTGATGTACCCAGATTGCAAAAACAAGAGGTCGTCAAGCTGGTCATACTGGCTGGGCCAGACGTATGCTTGACAGCTTGGCGCAAGAAGCGCGAGGCTGATCAACTGATTCCTTTTCATGATGCCTAGATAGTCGGATTGTTGAGCGTCTTATGGTGGATTACTGCTAGGCTCTTATTGATGATGGTAGACACTCATGGACACGCTCTCGTTATATAAGTCTTGGAGATACCTACCCAATGCTATTAAAGGATATTTTGTGGAGTAATTTCAACTACGCACGATCAATGCATATACGGATGTCGGCTTCCATGGTGCACGTTGCAGCAACTAGCATCGTGTTCGGGATACGATGTAGTATGGAGATTGAGAGAGGTAGGGTTAAGGTCACTTCCGCTGAGAGCCTTGTCTGGAAACTGATCTTAGGCGTTGGCAACTAATTTTGGAAACACGACCCTGGGCAAGATTAGCTTTGTGTCCTGGCTGATTGGTCCTGGAAATCTCCGGGGAATGCACGCGACACTATCTGGTCTGAGTTCGCCTTCTTTCGGCGGAGACGCAGGCGAACTAGAATCCGCAATGACTTGGCGAAGCTTCGAGTCTTTAAGTCTACAGTCAACTCAACGCTGAGAACGCCACTAATGGACTTCATTTTCTTCGTACTTCCTTGTAGGATCATACGCAGCCGTTTGTAGCCTCGTCATTAACTAGACTGAGTGCGCTGGCCACATATCTAATACTGAGCACAGAGCGCGTCCAGTGTACTGATAGGGGCAACATTTTAGACCGAGGTTGAAGAGCTTGCAAGGCTATACTCGTAACGCTACCATCGTATTTTGCCGTCTCTTCATCAACGTGCTCAGGGAGTTTCCGTCGGGTGACACCGTGCCTTCCTTTGGGCGACCCACGCTCTGACCGCGATGTTTTGTACCAAAGCTAATGGTAAAAGCCGGACGTGATAGTCACTGTCAAGTAACAAAGAAGACAACGATTGGAGATGGAGCGCAAATACTTTTGGCGCCATTGTTCGACGGTTCTGATGCTAACGATCAATCATTTCGCTTGGTCAGCTCTGATGTTCTTCCGCCCTTCTACGGCAGCGCCTCGATCACAACAGACGGGCATACTCTACAATGGTCTCTCACGATACAAACTGCTCGCATGTTCAAACACAGAGTATCGCGATGTGCCCGTGATTCCTAAATCTTCAGTATCATGTAATCGTACCGAAGACCTGAGAACCACCCCTCACAACGTCCACTGCAGGCGTGGTATATGCCCAAGCTCGAGAGTGTGAATATATAACAGAAGTGAATTATACTCGAGATGGCTCTTTTCCTTGCGATCATCTCATTCACACGGACTTGAGAGCGGGAGCGCAGCAAAGGTGTTGGAATGAAAGCCAAAATGCGAGTCACAGGAACGATTACTTGTCATACAAGGCGATTGATGGCGCCGCTGTTCAGTCACAATCTTACAGACGAGATGATAAGATCCTTCCAATGACCTTACGGCCACCGCAACTTTGGTTGACGACCTCGCCCTGTAGTCGAAACCTAAGTCGACCCATATCCAAGAGTAACCAAAATATTCAAACGTATTCCATATCAACGCACGTGATGGCTCCGATCGTGTTCAACAGGCCTATATCGCCGACTCCTGACTCGGTAATGGGAGAGGTGGTTGACAACATCTGCCAACAATGGGACATTGACGATGCGTGGCAAGCACTTCCCAATGGTCTGAGCTACAATCATGCTGAGTACGCCATGGCATGGGGCCAACCATTCTTGATTCTTCTTTCAGCCCTGGCAAGCCTTACACCGGGAAAGCTCGAAGAAGTACAAAAACGTCTTCGTAAGCGGATCGATCACGGTCGAAAGACGAAAGGCCGCCACTCGTGGGTGATGCCAGATGATCTCAAGACGCTGGTTGAACTGTATAGGCGCAAACAACCCACAGCTGATAGATCCGCCAACAAGGGACAGAAAAGTGACTTTCGACATAGAGTAGGAAAAGAAGAGGAGCAGTCAGAAGGAGAATTAGCAGACGATGAGCATGAAATTCGGGAGCAGTATATGTCGGACAGCACTTTACAGACCAGTGACGCCATTGGAGGAATTGCAGCGTCGAATGATGATCAGGATGGAGAGTATAATCTCCCGTCTTGTAACAGTTCGTCTGGCACTGCAACTTCCACTACACTTGCCCATAGTGAGAAGCGCAAGCGAGGTCCGGACTTGAACGAGCAAGACATCGGCAAGGCACTGCAAGTACGAGACGATATCGAATTCTGGCGGGAAGCTGTCCCAGTAGCTCCAGCTCCACGAACACAACCACCTGTCACTTCAGTATCAGACAGCCTGAGGACCGTGGACATGGAACAAAGATTTGAGATTCCGCCAGAGTTCACACCGGAACAAAAGATCGAGCTATTGCATATCTTGAGGCGACGTAATCGAAGTCTCGTGAAGGTTGCAGAGCTTGACTTTCGAATCCGATTAGAAGAGATGAGGCTTTCACAATAGGACGGTGCGTGGGCTGCGTGGATATCTTATAGGAAGGGTTATTCCAAGGAAAGTATCGTCAGCCTTTTCAGGGTAAGAACAATTAGATCAAATATACGATGGAGCATATTGCCCAATCTGATAGGACAACGTGATGTGTATCCACTTTTGTCGTGAGGATAGTCCAGATGAAGATGTGCCAGATGTGTGGGCGCATCTATTAGTCCGCCTTAAGTGGTGCGAGCAGTGTCGCAGATGGGAACGGATGGGCAGGAGCTATGCGGGGTAGATCTGGAGACGGTCGAATTAGTCGTGCCAAGGACCTCGGTACGGATCAGATCAAGGAGCCGCCGTCCCTCGATTGTCGCAATCTTGGAAGCAAGCGCGAACCCAACTCCGCTATGATATAAGCCATCCACTTCCGAAAATACCCATGGCCTCCTCACCGTGTTCATCGACAGCGCTGTCAGCACGATGGTGGACTTCACGCAACATCCTGTAAAGGGCGTGTACGCGTTGGCCGCCCTGGGCCTTGAGCTCGTGCGATTCCCAGTATTCATTGTCAAATTCCTCCTCTTCGGTCGCCAGCACCCTAGCTGGACCTTTCGACAGGCCATTACTGTGCACGCCCTCTTCTCTGGGCTATGGCACGTGGCTACGGTGCAAGCTAAGACACCACTGCCTCTCACACCGGACCGGGAGAAGGAGCGATTCCTTGTCATCAAACCGGCGAAGGATGACGTATACAAAGGACCATTGAGGAGCAACAAGGACGTTGTGCCGGCAGAAATTGGTGCGACTTGGTTTCCTGCGCCATTGACCACGGGAAGCGATAAGAGCAACGTCAAGGTCGTCCTTCATATACACGGCGGCGCTTTCGTCACAGGTCAGTCGATAGCCTTTGTGATACACATCCCCGTGGCTAACTTTTACCAGGAGATGGAAGGACGGGACAATGCGGAGCTCCCGCAAAGAAACTTCTCAAGCACACCCTAGCCACACACATCTTCTGTCCTCAGTATCGCCTCTCCACGCTGCCTGCCTCCAAGACATCGAACCCTTTCCCAGCCGCGCTCCAAGACAGCCTCACGTCCTACCTATATCTCTTGAACGACCTCAAGATATCCCCGAAGAACATCATACTCTCCGGAGACTCGGCGGGCGGCAACCTCGCCATCTCCCTTCTTCGCTACATTTCCGAGTACGGCTCCGACCTCGGTCTACCTGCTCCCTCGTCAGCGCTTCTCTGGTCGCCCTGGATCAACCCCGCCGATACCTCTGCATCATACGTTCATGACAATCGGAACTATGCCACAGACTACCTCTCTCCTCCCTTCACGTCCTGGGGCACCCAGGCATATGCTGGTGAAGCTGGCGAGCAGGTTCTGTCGCAGCCATACATTTCGCATAAGAACCGCACATTCAAGACCGAGGTGCCTATTTGGGTGAATGGAGGTGGGGGAGAGATACTATACTTTGACGTAGTCGAATGGGCTGAGAAGATGAAGCAAGCAGGTAATGATGTACAGCTTGATATCGAAGAGCACGTTCCACACGATCTCTTACTTTTGGGTCACATCTTGGGATTCGAGCAAGAGGCTGTAAACATGGCTAAACGGGCAGGCGAATGGCTGAACGAGCAGAAAAGATAAGGATGGACGAGATAGCTGAATCAAATCTATCACCTTGACGCTAGCTCTGTCGATTAGGGGCTTTTCGAATCTAGTACGGCTAGCTTAGCGGAATGGTAAAGTGCTTAGGAAGCGGAGTGACGGAGTCGCGGGTCCACAAGCTGACTGGGATATGAATCGCCAAGTACAAGTCGTCACAGTCTAAGACGCTACCTTCTAGGCAACGGCCTCCACCGTAACAGGTCCAGTTCAAACCATGGCAATGAATCAGAGCTTCTTCATCTGATCAGATAGAACCGGTGCCCAACAACTTGGGCGGATAGGATTGTACATGAACGAAAACACCCACTGCCCACCCAGTTGCTAGTAGTAAATACCGCCGGTAAAGCGACGTCGTGACGTCGTGATAAGCAGCCCAAGCTTGCTTGGCCCTGCGATATCTCGAATATAGTGAGGCTCGTCCACTTACCGTTATAGAGTACTGTTATAGTCATCGTCGGATGAACATGGATCCCACATCCGTAAGGTTCATTTGCAATCCAAGGGGATTTTTCGGACGTCGAGATGGACTCATGACTGAGTGCTCGAAGGCTTCAGCAGCGTCGTTGTATAACGCTGACCTATTGACATTATCTTATAGACATCGTACACATCGCATTTCAGCTGGCTAGTCTGATATCTTCTCATTCGGCACTCGCTTTTTCCATCATGACTTTCTATTCATCAATCGGCAATTGTACGCCCAGCGCTATTCCCTATCCAGTTATATCTGGGGCTGAGTTTGTTGCTATTGAAGCCCAGCCAGTCCTGAACTACAACGGCTCTGACATTGAAAATCGACTCTGGCACAACCATGGCCTTCTACCTACCAACGCCTCCGTTAGCTTCTGCAATGTCACCCTCACGCACGCGCATCCAGGCAAAGACGACATGCTGCGTACACAGATCTGGCTTCCTCTAGACTCCACATGGAACAGACGTATGGTGATGGCAGGTGGCGGAGGTTGGTCAGCAGGGTTTGAGCAAGCAGCTCCTGGCATGTTTGGAGGCCTGACTGAGGGCTTTGCAAGATCCTCGGTGGACGGCGGAGTACAGATCGAGAACGCTCTCTCAGTAGCAACCTGGGCACTGACAAGTCCTGGCAATGTCGACTACAACGCACTACAGAGCTTTGCATTCAATGGTCTGATTGATGGCGCTATGGCTACAAAACAGGTCATCGAGAGCTTCTATGGTCGTGGCCCGGACTACTCTTATTGGAACGGTTGCTCTCAAGGTGGCCGGCAAGGTTACATGTTTGCCCAGAAGTTTCCAGAAGCCTTCGATGGCATCGCGGCCGCAGCTCCAGCTATCAATTGGAGTTCATTTTTCTTTTCGTCGACCTTCCCTCAACAGGTCTTATCTGAGCTGGCCCAAAACGGCTTGGAGCGTTTCCCACATGACTGCGAGTTCCTCTCCCTAAGGAGGGCTGCCATTGCTGCTTGCGACGCCAACGGTGGACCCGTTGATGGGTTGATTTCCGACATGGCAAGTTGCAAATTCGACGCCCGGTCCATGATTGGAAGTCCATCTAACTGCAGCTCCTCTGGCGCACCTTCGGTCATATCGGAGGCTGCTGCTATAGCCATGAATGCATTGTGGCAGGGTGCTCGGACAAGCGACGGATCATTCCTGTGATATCCTCACGGATACCAGACGGACCCGACAGCTTTCTATGGTACTCTATACAACACCTGCTCAGGTAACGGCACATGTGTCCCAGAAAGAAATACGCTCTTCATCCACTGGATAAAGTACTTTATCAAGAAAGATCCGGATTTTGACTTGAACAACATGACACGCCAGGACTTTGTCCGCACATCCAGTGCAGGAACGCGAGATTGCAACTCCATTATCGACACGGATTATCCAGACTTGCGAGAGTTTCGCGCGGTTGGGGGAAAACTGCTCACCTACCACGGTTTAGTAAGTTCTACATCATCACAAAAGCTATCATGATATAACATACTGACCATCCCATATGGTGGAACGGGCGACTATTATGATCGAGTATCTGCTCTCGATCCTGCCCTGCGCAATTTTTACCGTTATTTCGAAGTCCCCGGAGCAGCACACTGTGAAGCTGGCCAAGGTGGTGTACCTACCGGCTTGTTTTCCGCTTTGGTCGACTGTGTTGAGAACGGTATTGCGCCCGAAACGCTTGCTGCTAGGAACGCTGAAGATAGAGAACGCTTGCTCTGTCAATACCCGAAGAAGGCAGTATTCACTGGAGATACTGCAAACTACACTGCGGCAGATTTCGTATGCCAGTGAAGAGTATGGGAAGGTGGCAGTCAATTATTAGGATAGTCGTTTGCTCATCAGTGTAGTGTAATATTGGTGGTTCTGACTGGAGACTGGCGTTGGCCTTCCGAGAGTGGGTTAGCGAGCACAGAGAAGAGTTCACCAGACTTGCTAGCGCTGCTCATTAGGTTCAATAGTATGGTATGTGAACGACTGTCTATTAAATTTTTTCTATGAATAATGTTCGCCGCATTCATCTTAAACTAGCCGGATCGCGCCCTCTTGAGCCTCGTTCCCAACAGACTGGTGAGACGGTCCTGTTCCTGGCAGCCAAAGGATCATAGGCTCGATGCCGTTCCCTCCCAACTATGTACTAGATACATAGAAGTGTCGTTTTATGCTTGCAGCAATATAAAGCAAGGCTGCGGCGCCAAACAGGCACGCTGAGAACCAGAAAAGCAGACTCATGAACCCGTTAACCAAACCACCTTCAACTCGGAATCTGTAGAAGCTGTAGGATACAGTAGGGAGGCTCAGCTGTAAACAGTATAGAAGATTGATCACAGCCCTCCCTGCCAGTATGTTTGGCAGTGTGAACCCGGACCCCTCAAGAAGGATTCCTAAGATTGCCAATGTGATCACAAGCGCGGGTAGGCAGAAAAACAAGATGACAACCGATGCGACTCTGATCTTCGTGGGGACACGGAATGAATCCGCAGTTTCAAGAGCCCATAACTCGCTTAAATAGCGAGGTGGCATCGTGAGGCACGTGGCTATTGACCAGTATAGGAGTGGCTGAGGGCGGATATGATGAGGAAGTTACAGCCCTAGAATAACAAGAGGGAACAGACTATGCGCTTGTAAGACACATGTAATGTAGTTCTTGTCTTACTACGTACAGGTTCAAAGGGCCCAAGTCCAGAGTAAGATCAAACAATGACGTAAAGCCATGAACTTCATCGCTATCAAGGATGACAAGATAGCAATAAAGTGTGTAAAACGTGGGCAGGTATAATAGGGCCGCTGCAGTTACAGATACTCTATGATGATCAGTTGCTTATCACGATCCCTCATGAGCGCGCCGTACCATTGTGCATATATCGCTAATGGACGTTAGCATGTTTTGTCTCCGTATTCTACTATCGATATCTGATTAGGTGGCGTACAAAGATTTCGCAAACCTATGTCCGTCCCCAGTCTGTCCCGGATAACATAAGGGTCGAATGCGAAAACCATCATTGTTTGTTGACTGCAATAGCCCGCGGTACGCTATTTGTTCTTGTGAATAAGCAGCAGAGAATGCAAATGAACTCTGCGTGCACGATGAAGAGATGGTAATGCTGACTCCAGCGCACTTAGCTCTCACAACATAGCCACTTCGACGCGCAGTCCGCAGGCTGACGCGGAAGCTGTGCACGCCACTCCTTTGTTTTGTGTGCGTTATCAGCCCCCACCTGCTCAGGTAAGACGGCGGCCTTACAAGGAACACCATCCTCAATAGCCGCAGGCGACTTTCCTCACTTCACTACATAGCGTTTTCGCCTGGCACCAACTCACCTTGCTATCCGAGAAATCACTTGCGGACACTATTCTCTGCGTACATGCCCTCACAAATCTACGTACGCGTTCTCTAGTCGCGCTATGCTTTTGCGCAGCGTCTGACACACCGTTCACGAACCTCTCGGCAGCGATGCTATTCGATTTTTGTTTATGAAACCTGGCTTCAAGGATGAGCCCATAGAATGCGCGTTGATCACTGTGGCCAACCTGGCTGAGTCGCCCCCGTATCATGCACTCTCCTATGTTTGGGGTGAGTCCGACGAGGCAGCCTCTATAATCTGCAACGGCGCGGAAATGGCTATTACCAAAAGATTGGCCGATACTCTCATACATCTGCGACGTACCCCAGGATGGCGCTCTGTCATACCCTGGTCTAAAGATCACCCACTGCATTCTAGCAAGAACGCATGGAAGGGTTTCGCACGAAGCCGACACGAGCAATATCAAGAAAGTGAATGGGAGAAAGAGAGCTTGTTGTGGATCGATGCTCTCTGTATGGATCAGACCAACCACAAGGAGAGGGTAAGCCAGGTCAAGATGATGGGTAAAATTTATAGTTGTGCCGCGGCTGTCACCATATGGCTCGGTGTAGAAGACAAGCAGTTACCAGATTCCATCTCAAAATTCGATGCAGGGTCTGGTGTTCACATCAGCACGTATGGACGAATACCAGTTTTGCTCTCGTTCATCGCGCAAGCGCTGCGGAACGTGAAAAGGCCACAGAACAGATTGGCCTCCATCACACCCGCTGAAAACTCACTCCAGCGCAACGGAGCGTACGGATTTCCCAAGCCCAACGCGCCGGATTGGGAAATTGTACGTGGCTTCTTCACGAACCCCTGGTTTGAAAGAGTGTGGGCGGTGCAGGAGGCAGTCCTCGCGAGCAGAGCAATGGTGTTGATAGGCAACTGAGAAGTCGATTGGGTAACCATCGGAGATGCGGCTTCATGGTTCCAGACTAAGGGCTACGCCTTGCCTGCAGTCTTGAAATACGAAATTCAAGATCAACAGGACCTCTTGCCAGTTGCCAAGGCTGTCTCAGTGTGGAAGCATTGTTCTTTGCCTGGCAAGCAGATTACGCTTTTGGATTTGCTCCAGGCATTTCGCAACAGACTGGCTACAGATCCTAGAGACAAAGTGTATGCGACGTTCGGCATAGCAACGGAATTAGCTGATGTCGAAGCACATGGGTTTCACCATCTTCTCGAACCAGACTATGAGAAGCCCGTCCTCAATGTATATCGTGATGTTGCTAGGTTCTTAATCATTGAATATGGGAGTCTTGATGTCCTTTCGGACGCGGGACTAACCTTGGAGCCATCATGGCCATCATGACCATCATGGGTCCCAGATTGGCGTCAAAACAGAGCTTCAAACACCTTGACAACTATGCCATCTGCCAAGAACTACAATGCGAGCGGAAACGGGTCGCTCTCCATGGGCTTTAGTGATAATTCTGCTATACTTTCGCTCGAGGGTATCGATGTCGACCATGTAGCGGCTTACGGTCACAAGCTTGCAAGCTACGGCTTTGGCTATGTGACGTATCAAGAAGAAATCGACTTCGTAAACATGGCATGGGGACTTGTTGAGCCTTCTGAGATAGCATCAGCTTCGAACGCGGACAAGCCCGTGATTAGAAGATTCATCCAAACACTGACGGCTGGCCAGAACAGTGATCCGGACTTCTTTGGCCACGCTTTGAGTTGGTTTGCGCAACACATCCATATTCCTCGCATCGCGTCCTTGTTGCAACGTATGCCATGGGCCTCGAGGCAGAGCGCGGATTCTGGGCGTTTTCATGAGGCTTTCGTTCGGGCTTGCGTCGATAGACGATTTTTCGTGACTAGAAACGGCTTAATGGGCATTGGGCCAGACGCGATGAAAGAAGGAGATATCATTGCGATACTGTTTGGCGGAAGCGTACCATATGTGGTTAGAACTGTGGATCAAAATCATAAGTTAGTTGGGGAATGCTATGTGGTGGGGTTGATGAATGGGGAAGCGATGTCAACATGGAAAGATGAAGGAAGCAAGAGAAAGATCTCTGACTTACTCTAGAGCCAAACCTGCATTTATAATCTAGCTCAAGATCTTGCACTTGTAGGAAGACATGGAATGGGTGTGTAGGAGGTTTTCTACCATTGCCGGTCAACGGATGCATAGGTCTTTGGCCCATGGCTCCACTACGTTCAATCGGGCGCTACTCCATAGCGACATAAGAGAGCTCACGGGACAGACGCAAACGATGTCGGCGACTGGTTTTGCGGATCACATATCCCAATAATAACCTTTCTTTTATTTGGAAAGGTGTCCAGGTACAGAGAGCGGCTGAAAATGCGTAGCCGAATCTCCGTTCGTGTTTGCTTTTGCTGAGGTGTCGATGGTCAAACAGCGATCGACCGAGGGCGCGTGTAGATAAGCCCATTCGGGGTCACTCCAGACCTGCGAGTCTGAACGTGTGAGATTGTTAATGAGATAACCAGTGGCTTTCAGGACTTCAGCTGAAGCGTATCAGCGCGAATGGTAACACTGCTCTAAGGGACCTTAAACTTTAGTGCTTATGCCGAGCCTATCACCACAGTCACTAATATGCAGGCGTTTCTGGAAGCGACATACTTTGGCGAGCCGCGTAGCTTTCTGTGGACAGAAACGTGATCTACTCGTGCATAGGGATTATCGTAGTTACCATGCAAGTAAACCACCAATTCAGAGTACTTCCGAGGCTGTAAGTAGGTGCCTTGAGAACGCAACCGGGGACATCTTTACTGGGGATTATACCGTGAGCAACATCATGACATTTGGCTATCAGGACATGCATCAAGACTGGAGTGTTAGCGCATATGTATCTGTACATGGAAGGTGTTTCCCCATTGCTCGAGTGCGCAGGTGCATGGTGTTGTGATGCCCTCACGAATGCGCAGAGGCGGGGTGGCAACGTGTCTTCGGAATCGCCACCAATAGCGTCGCAGGATGAATTGCACATCCTCCACCGTCGTCATCCTCTTTCCATCTAGTGCTTGGCAAGCAACTCAGTACTTGATGCTAACTTTTGCTCTTTCACGTAGTGGACTGCAAGAAGGCACCATGACCTTGCTAATGTTACTTGACATCGTTTCAATAATACTGTCGGTTGTATCTTTCTTCGGCTGGAGGGTGTCAGAGTATGCGGAGAAACAAGGATTGTGGACACTACGTCTACGGCTTTCGCTTTGGCAACCCTACCTGCTACCGCTATGGGTTATCTCCTTCTCGACCACTCTTCTCCACATTGTTTACGATGTCTTGATCTTCACACAAATGCAAGGGATGCTTCTGAACAATACGAACCCTCCAAATGGCCCAGTATTTGAGACCCGCATGGCGCTCCCATATATTCTGATGAGTCTCATAGCTCTCGTCACTGCCGAGTTGGCAATTCGTACATTTTCTACACGTACGTATCTATATACTCGGCAGAAAGCATGGTGTGGGCCAAGTCGCACTGGAATTCCCCAAGAAGTGTCGACATACATAGGGGACGCAGAGGATTGGAAGTGGTTAGCAAAACACGCATCTCAAATTCGACTACATTCTGTAGAGAGACTTGCGCAGAGCCTTTACACGAACCAAAGAATCCCGCAAGATCCGACAGATTTGCTTCGATCAAGAGCTGAGATGGATCGCCTTGAAGGCACCAAATGGGTTCCAGCTAGCACCGAAAGGCGTGGAGTTTATCAAAATGGCCAAGACAACGACTCAACTTCACTCCTGTGGGGTGAACACCTTGGCTTCCAAGAACGGTGCAGCCGTGGCATTATTTCGATCCCTCCTAACCTCTTGAGTACCACTCCGAAGCTAAAGTCCGGACTGTGCGGTAAGGCCGTGTGCCTTGCTTTCGGGATCATGGCACGGAATAAGGGACCGGATCCACGTTCACTGGTTTGCAACTTGAAAGCGAAGAACTCGTTTCGAACTTGGGAAGAGGCAGGAATTTGGCCGCATCCAGCAAAGACTTTGAGAAGCTTTTACTACGCAGAATTCGAAAAGGCCTTCTCCTTGCTAGGCGATGCGTATGTCACGGCCGTGACGGAACTCGCCTTACTACTAGCCGACCTGGATTTCAATATGGTGGATTTTTGGCTGGACAAACAGTTTGAACATCAAGATCTGGCATTCAATCTTCAAGCTCATGCCTGTGGAGCAAATCGAGAAGATCTAGTCAGACTCTATCGAGGTCACTATGCGGCTATGCTCATCAGCCTCAGCCTTGTCCACAGACGTGCCAGTGTGCGCCCAGAAGTTACTGTCTTCGATGCTGTATGTAAGTTGGACAACGTGAAGGTACCGGATTGGGCATATTCGGGGCAGATCGAGGGTCGAAGGCAAGCAGAGAGACATGAATATGGCGCCTCTCTACAAAACTTGATAAGCGCTATCATCTAACGGCCCCATGTATCTTTGGCTTTTGGTTTGATCAGAGAAGGTTTTGCCTTGCAAGAATGCTCCAAGCAATCTATCGCTGCGTTTGAGCAGGAAGACAAGCATCTCGGCTGAAGTCCTTACTACCACTTGCAATACTAGGGCTTACCCTTGATAAACGCTCTAAAACTACCTGGAGAGCTCAGCAAGCTGCGTTGCATGTGTTAAAGACCACTCATATACTCCAAGGCAGTTTTTGCACCTCAAGAGAAGTGGCGTATTGACAGGTCAGAAGGCAATCGAGCTCCGAGCAGCTCAAATCCCGAACGATTGGGAAGTGTATCTGTCTATCCTGGTTGGTGCTGCAGATCAGACTGCCCTCTGCCTACTTCATCAGCTTTGTCAAGGGGTGAAAGAACCCTGTATCTTACTTAAGTTCCCTCGAACAGGATGTCTTGACAACATGCTCAATGTGTGCAATCTGGTTATTGCAATTGGACACTAAAGCATAGTGTAGATAGGGACAGCTGAACATCTGCTACACCAATATATGACTGCAGATACGAGAGACTCAGGGGTTTACAGTCATGGTTGGGTAGAGACAGACTGGTGCACCTCTTATTAGCCAGACGCAAGGTGATTTATGCAGTAGCTGGTGGGCTAAGCTTTTACAACAGCTGTAATAACTTCGATTGGTGAACAGCAGCCAATGAACTTTCACCGGAGCAAAGTTTCAGGCAACAAGGCAGATAAGAGCGCCATCGCGGTTCGCGCAAGCCACAAAGTGGTGCTCGCATGGCTTGAGGCGATTAGTCCAGTCCCAATGTACCTAGGTAGGTCGTGACTTAAGATCCGATTCTGAGCCCGCCTACCAGTGTACCCATCTCGAGCAGCAAAGCTTACCGACGCTTAGTTACGTATCTAGTTCAAAAGAAACAGCATCCTCCAACTCAACTGACAGGATTTATTCACTGGTGGCGTATCATTTGGAGAACCACATTGGAACCCTTCATATTTCGACACCATGGATGGCGGCAGTCGCAGAAATATCGTCCTTTGCTTCACTATGTTCTGTCTTCGTACTCTTGCTATCCCGCTGGAAAAGGTGCCCGAAGTCGCTCAACATGTAAGGAACGAGCCTAGAAAAACAGACTTTGCTATCTTCCGCCCAAGCGAGGAATCGTCGATCGCCTTCCTCTGGTCGTCCATTGGTATCGCGACGTTTACTGCGTTCCTCCAAGGCCTTGTCACCACTCTAGCATCCATGACAGAATCATCGAACTCATGGACATTCAGGTTTCGCCTAGCAAAACTAGAACATTGGTGGTGGACAGTGATATCAGTGTTTCTGTTCATATCACTAGTTCTCATCACACTGTCATTCGCATCTGGAAACAACAATGAAGCCATCTCTATACTTGTCCTCTCGTCGACAACTCTGTTGGCAATAGTTCAGTACACTGTGCCGTCATGGCGCAGTCGTCACTACATCCGGAACCGGTACTCAGCGTGGGCCGGGCCCAGCCGCACTGCTATTAAGAGGGATCATATCGCTTATTGTGGGTCAAAGAGGGACTGGGCAAACCTCTCGAAGAATGTCAGAGTATCCGACAGAAAGAGGACTCCGTCCGATGACTATGGCTGGCACATTTGGAGAGTTGAAGGCATCCGAGAAGACCCAACGGATATACTCAACAGCGTGCATGCGGGAAAAGAGACCATATCACGTGAAGGGCGAAACGAACATATCTACCAAGATGGGTACCAGAACTCAGCCACGGTATCTCTGTTTTGGGGAGAACAACTTGGCTTTGTTCCTAGAGTATCACGCGCTATATCCTCAGTACCCGCCAATCTCCTGAAGTCGCGGCCGATCACTGTTGATGGCTTTGCGGGTGAAGGTCTCTGCTTAGGCATGGGCATCCTAGGGAGGAACAAAGGTCTCAACCCCAGAGGTCTAGTTTTCAAGATGAACGAGCCAATCTGGAGAAGCCTCGAGAACAATTCTGCCTTTGCCCCAAGACCTTCAAAAACACTAAGAAGTTACTATGCCAAACAACTCAAAAGGGTGTATGGAGGAATCTCTGACCAGTTCGTCCTAGCGGCCGTAGAGCTTTCTTTAATTCTCATGGACGCGGATAGTCACGCCATCGCGACTTGGCTCGAAGGCTATTGCGAGCACCAGGACCTTTACGTCAACCAAAGGCTTCAGCAGCTCGACGCTACTCCAGAAGAGCTCAAAGCACACTACGAGTCCAGCTATGTCTCGATGGTTATTTCTCTGAACAACATGCGGACTCGGAATCTAGGCAGACCAGGCCGTGGAATCGACAGCAAAGAGAAGCCCTGTCGACCTGATATCATCTGCCTTGGCCTCCTTCTTAAGGCCAGAGAGCAACCAGAACCGAATTGGTGGAGGCATGAGGACATTCAGGCGATTCGGGAAAGCGAAAGGACTCTGCTTAATGGTGAATGGTACAACGACGCTGCAAAGCTATTAGGTCTATCGTCGTGTCCTCACGGATTTGAAAATGGACAATGGGGTATTGCTTCGCCTTCTCTAGATTCATCAACAGCATCCACAAGGGAAGTAGAAATGACTCCATGATATGGAAATTTGGGAGGAGGTGGACATTGATCGCCTGACAACAAGGCAGACGAGGCTGGATACGAGATTTGTTTCTTAGACCTGATCAAGATCATCGCGGTTGAAGATACGACTTTTCAATCATAGTAGCAATGCTAAAACAAATCGCTGCGACGAAAAGGTAGAACAATTCTGCGGGGCGGAATTGGAAAGGTGGGGTAGGCGCGAAGAATGCCGGCGAGCGGACTGCGAGTCAAGCATTTCTTCAACCGCATTCAATCTTACTCTTATTGAAAGAACACTTGGGTCATTTGAGCTTGCTTGGTACGACGGCACAGTGGTCTTGGTGTCTGTTTCTCCGTGGACGCTGCGCCGCGACCCGCGCCGCAGCCGTTGCCGCAGAGCCCAGCTTGGACGTTACCTGGTTAGGACTAGTCTAGGCTTGATTAGTTAGTTCCTCCGCTGAGATTCCTTCTATCACTTGTATTCCCCGCTCTTTCCCATGATTACAATGCTAAGTCTCGCCACGAAGCCTACTGCAGACTCCAAATCCGCTTTCCTGGGTCTGTGCTGTCGGCACGAAGGCTCTTAACGGTCTAATCGTAGGAAGCGCAGAGATCATGATATCCGCAACCCTGCTACCTCGGTCAATGACTTTTCCTGTCTTCGACGAGCATCTAGCCGGCTCGTGGGAACAATGCCAAACAACCCATGAGCGAGATTTTTAGTCAATTTCCAGCCAAGACGACCTCCTTGTTGATAGCTGACCACAACCTGTCCGTCCGCTATGTTCTGTCTGAGCTTTGCCTTGTTCGTTGCGGCCCTACTCAACGTGACGTGCGCTCGAAGTGTTAATGGAAGCGCACCCACGGTCTCATGGCTCTCCCCCGGCTACTGTGTAAGCTCAACATCATCCTTTGTTGCTATTCTGACTTTCTCTAGTGTACGGCTTTGACGTCAAGTCCTGTAGCTAAGCGCGTAACCTACCCTGGTCAGAACTCATACAATGCTAGTCTTGCTTCTTATTTCGATGGAAAGAGCAGGTTAACACCCAACTGCATTGTGCAACCCACAACTGCCGAGGAGGTCTCCATAATCGTGAAGGTTCTTGCGGCTGCCAGTCTACAGAAGACTTGCCAGTTCGCCGTGCGATCCGGTGGCCACACTCCGATCCCTGGGGCCAATAACATCGAAGATGGAGTCACAATTGATATGCTGAATATGAATGGAACCACCTACGATGTTGCGTCCAAGACAGCAAGCATTTTGCCAGCTGCAAGATGGGGCTCCGTTTACGCAACTCTGGAGCCATTAGGACGTATGGTAGCTGGAGGCCGCGGAAGTACTGTCGGCGTCGGTGGCTTCTTACTTGGTGGTGGAATATCACACTACGCGCCTCGCGTTGGACTATCTTGCGATAACGTGATCAATTTCCAAGTCGTTCTTGCTGATGGCCGTATCGTGAATGCCAACAAGCGGACAAATGCAGATCTGTTCACCGCTCTCAAAGGCGGTAACAGCAATTTTGGCATCGTGACACGATACGACATGGAGACTTTCGAGAACGAGGACCTTTGGGGAGGTATTGTTTCCTGGCCTGCATCCACTGTCAACCAACACTTCAAGTCGCTTGTCAATTTTGGTCTTGATCCAAACAGAGACCCAAATGCTGCTTTGATCCTGTTCCAAGGATACTCAACAGCCAGTCCCGTGGACGTCGTAAGAGCGGCCTTCGATTACACCAAGCCTGTGGTTCGCCCAGCTGCATACAACGAGTTCTTTGCAGTCAACAACACTCTCAGCGATTCGACCAAAATCCAGCCGATGAGTGCAATTGCTGCAGAATTTGGCAGTGACACAACTAAAAGGTACGTATTCCACTACCCATGTTGTGGAAATATCGCTAACGCGAGTAACTAGGGTTCAATTTCGCACTCTTTCGTTCAAGATCGATCTCGAGACTCTTCAAGAGACGGCTCGTCTATACAACATCGTCATTACGGAGCTTCAAGCCAAGGCTTCTGGCCAATGGCGCGTCTCGTGCTTACATCAGGTTTTTGCCACAAGCTACACCACGAACAGTACAGCCAGGGGCGGCAACGTGCTGGGCATGGAGCGCTACAGCGAGAACTTTATCATGTATCAGTCTTACCTGCTCTGGTCTGAGGCTAAGGATGATGAGCTGTTCGTTAGCCTGGGTAAAATGTTGACTGACGGCATCCAGAAGTTTGCCACAGACAAGGGTACGGGAGTTGGATATCTTTACCTTAACTATGCCGACAAGGACCAGGATCCACTTTCAGCTTACGGTGTTGACAAGGTGTCGTTCATGAAGAAGGTCGCAAAGAAGTACGATCCCTTCGGTGTCTACCAGAGACTACTGCCGGGTGGGTTCAAGATCTCCCAGGTGTGAGGAGATGATGTTATATCTGTAGCAAGACTTTTTCCTTTCGAGCCTCCGTTAGCCAAGTCTTAACATCGAATCAATTCTGTTAGGTGGACTAACTACACTCGACTGCTTCCTGCTATAGTTTGTTCATTGAATAAATAGAAATCCGTCCAACTTGCTAACACTAACAATTGACTCATGAAGCCATCTTTCAGCCCAATAAACTTGATCGTATTTGATCGCTGTGCGGATTGCAGTGGTAACAGCGTTATGTAGATGCGTAGATTGTAATTCTTAGGATCGACCACGTTGCTTCTACGGAACGGTTGGTAGTGGAACCACCATATTTTCGGTCGATGACGAGGACAAACGGTGGTTCAATTGCATCGTCGGCAATCAATGGAGTAATTGGCCCGAAAACAGTGCTCCCGCTGAGCACCTGATTCTTAGTGTCAAGACATTTGATATGTGTACAAGGCGAATCAAGATACTTTCTACTGCCACAGATTAATGTCAGCACAAGCCTGCTCTATCTGGTGCCCTTTCACTCTAAAAAATCATGCAGTCGATTTCCATGCTTGTTAGGCGCATGTCTAGTTGCTAGGGCGTCTTTCCAAAACGACTCATCGGTGCTCGATACACGAAGACCGTTAGGGAAGAACACACCTAAGAGTGAAGTTCCCACCATTGGGTAGCGCTTCTCGACCTCTTTCAATACATCCACGACACGTTTCCCTTTGATAGCTGTCTCAACTTCCTTGAGGTGTAGTCCCATCGCACTCGCTTCTCGCGGCATACCAGCAGCGTATAAGTTCTGGACATTACCTATGAGCCCAATTCCAAGAAGATCTTTACGAAGGTCAGCCCTTGTTAATTTGCTTTCAAGAACACGAGGCACTTATATCAAGAGTTTTCTTGTAGCCCAGCTACGGTGATGAGTAGACAGATCCACAACAAAGCTAAGATGCATGACATAAGCCTTGTGAACCGCGTGGAATGGAACGGAGCGACGGCAGTTGCCATGATCTCTAGGTTCAAGCCGACATGCTCATGGCCCAGAATGAGCATTGCATATCTGCTGCCGTTGCCTTGCGTGATACTGACCGTGCTAGATCCCTTCTTCAGACACAACCATTTTTCTCTGCGCCACTGTGGCAATGAGGCTTCCGCAACGGCCAAAGCTGTGCCACTTATGGTAATCAGAAAGGGTGCCCAGTCGTTATGAATGATCCAAGCAACAAGAGATAGCCAAGGTTGAAGCAGTATGACTATTACTCCAGAGTGCCATACCCAATCCAAAACTGGGATACCTTGTTGAGTTACTGAGCTGCTATCGACCTCATATACTTCGACCCGCAATGCTTCCCATTCTGGATGAGACTTATCAATGGCTGTAGTATGCCCCTTTCGATTTTGTGAAGTGAATTTAGGTTTCTTGGACAGTTTGTTGGCATGAACTCGATCTTGCGCATCTCTAAGAATGCGGCCAAGTACCCAATTGGTCGACGCTCTGCAGTGACCAGACTCCGCGTGGACGATGATGGTATTCGAAAGATCGCTGGACGGCATAAGACGTCCATCTAGCATCAGAATCTTTAGTATCCGGAGGAAAACACAAGATGAAGAGAGCTCACCTCCGAAAGCATGAACGAGGGCGGCTGTTGAGTACGCGACCCGTCCAAATGAGAACGCTGCAGGACTTACTACGCGTCCCGCAAGTTGAGCAACGGAATTTCGCACGATGTCTGGCCCCAACAGGAGTAATATGGATAGTATGTCTTTAGGGTTCTTCCATTGTGCCAAAAGAAGGGCTTTGGCTTGAGCAACGTCTCCGACGTTGCTGCTGCTTACTACCAAGTCACTGATAGTTGGTGGCATTGATGGTATTGTGCAAGCGTTCAAGCTGGTGGAACAGGAGACACATTCGGGTTATCGAGGGTACTAGTCCACTTTCCTTCCACAGTCCATTATATCATTTTATCCAAGCATACCAGGCTGTTGGGCATCATTGCAGGTGAGAAGACGGGCGTAAGTCATACCAACCTTAGCCTCACTGTGACTATTCACCTCGCTTTCATCAAGGCTCATGGCTATCTTGGTACGTTAGACCGAATCAGCGATATTGTAGTTAGAGCTCAAAGCAATGTCAACGAATGAGACTATTAGATCGACTGAGCCTATGACGTATCTGTGGTAGGCCTATGACATGGTGGCCCCCTATAATGCGCAAACAGTACGAGGCGCGAATCCAGCCTGGACTTCTGCCCAATCGTGGCAAACGCTAGCGCTTTGTCGTCCAGGTAAGAGGGTTGATGGAAATCAATAGGCTGTAGCCATGACCACAAGCAAGCATAGATTGAGTCATTTGGCTCATGTTTATTCGACGATGAAAGAGGCAGACAATATAAAATGTCGCATACATGAAACCAACCGGTGAACGACCCAAAGGGCGCCAAAACAACTGGAGGACTTCTCAGCCTCGTGAGGGGTGTTCATAGTAAAGTGCATATCAGCCATCCGATCATCTTCAACTTTAGCAAACGTACGAATGTCCAAATGAAGAAAGACCCTGCGGTCAGCCGCTCTCGTATCGTCGACATTGGGCACAAGCGTGTCACGATGGCTGTTCATG